ATTGCTGTGTGTCCCCACCTTCTCTGGCTGAGCCATACAAGCCAGCACTGTGCTAAGGCTGGAACTAATAAGACATGGTTTCCTTTCTTTGAAAAACCTCCTAGAAAAGCAAGTTGGCAGTGTTTAATGCAAACAAAGCACTAGGGCAAAGTGTGGGATTGTTTGGTTTGTTTCTAGGCAAGCAAGAAAATTGGGTATTATCAGTAAAAGCACCCCTGCTTAATTGCCCCTGGGCCAGTCGCTTGTGTCTTGCCCTGGACAAAGCATGTTTCCTGAAGTTGGACAGAGCTGCAGCTCAATTCCTAGCTCAGCTTCTGAGGGTCTTCCTTGATCGAAGACTTGCCAGCTGTGCCAGGCTTTCAACATCAGTGCGGCCTCTGGCCCCATCCAGCCTTCCTTGAGCTGAGAATTTCAAGCCCTCATGGTTCACCCCATAGTGAGAGATGGGGTGTTAACTCTGGGGTTATAACCTATAAGCTGACTATAAAGTCTTTAATGTTTTACTAAGAACCGGTTGCTTTCAAAGTCAGCCGAACTGGTCTAGAGCCCCATGACCTTGTGTACATTTTTAGATCTCGCCTGTTTTCTTACACTTGCAGCCACGTACCTGTAACGAGTCATGATACAGGTTTCTCAACTATCTGCGGGTCTGAAAGCTTCAACACCAAAAGCTTCAACACAAGCTCCTTCAGTTGACCCGTAGGTAAGCCCTGTAGGTAAGAAGTAGGTTTCAGCAAGCTCAGGTGGGACTTGCCACGAGAGGGAGACATCATGCACACAGCCCATGTGTTCCCTGAACACATCCACCTGAATAAAACAGCCTAGCCTGGTATTCTGTAACGTGTCTGGACACATGCAGCTATTAGTGAGGCAGTGAGAACCCAAACTTCGGACCTCAGTTGTGCAGTAGGTGCCTGTGATAGAAAACAGGGACTTATCGTTTTGCTAGTCATCATTTTCCAAGCATCTGCAGCCTGCCTAACAGTCACAGAGCCGCAAAGCACACAGAAAATGGAGTCTGGATGGGCTAGCAATGGGGTAGCGTGTATCCGGGCCTCTCTGGGTCAGGTCAGGCAGATCCTGGTGCAAGCAGGACCGTGCAGCACCAAAGGAGATGTTTCAGATACGTGCAGCTGGCTGGTGAGGCTTTTCCCTTTTCATACTGCAACCAGCCATTACAAAGGCTGAGCTACACTCTGTAACCAGCTTCCGCAGGCTGGGCCAGCGGGAGTGTTTGCACAGAGCTATGAAAACACAGTGCTGCGAGCGCCCGGCCACTGCGGCACCCGGGACGCCCACCGCCGCTCGGGAGAGCTCTTTTGCTTCCTCAACACCAGCCGAGAGATTTCATGGGAGAAAAGGCCTGTTCCGTGCGCATGGGACAGCTTCGTTTGCCCTCCAGATTGCATCGGCTTTTCCCATGGCTGCAGCACAACAGCAGGGCTCTGTTTTCTTTTGGGAAGGGAATAAGCTGCTTCATCATTGTGATCTCTGTGCAGTGTCCTGTTGATAAGATCAGTTAACAGCATCGGAGGAAAACTCTAGATTCAGGTCTGAAATATAAAGTGAACGGGGCCTATTTGTTTAATTTGAGCTTCTAAGGTTTAAATCCCAGAGGAAATTAAATTAGGTGCCTAGAGCAATGGCAGTCTGTCATGTTTATTTGCTGGGAATGTCACCTTTAATATCATGCACATAGAACGTGTGTGTGTTAATGTAATGGGGTATCATACTGTGCAGGAGCAGGCATGCTACAAGAAGTGGAAACCTGAAATATTGTGAGTGAGGGAAGCCGAGATGGGATTGGATTTATTCTCATCCTTCTCTGTAGGAGCAAAGATTCACTCACCAGCGTGAAGGTGGTTTTGCGAATTGCAGGTGGGGATGGCAGCCTGATCTATGAGCACAGGCCTTACTGCTCTTGGGCCTTTTTGATTGGGCTACTTCTAAGAGGAGAAATCTTGTCTAGATGCGAATCCAGGGTGACAATTCTTCCTCCTTCAAAGCCCTCTTCAGCAGCTGGTCTGCTGCAGACACCTGCCTTCCCCCTGCATCCTCGGGAGACCTGAAGAGTGCTCCAGTTTCCTGAGCCGAGGGACATGGTTGCTTGTATGTTTGGTTACACCCGCGCTTCGGAGACTCCCTTCTTCTCCAGGAAGGAGAGCCGGTCTCCCCAGCAGCGTGGGGTAGTAGGGTTTGGGGTGGGTTTTTTCTGGCTCGGGCTGTTGAGTGACACACTGTGTGAATGTCACTGCAGCAGTTTGTCATTGCAGCCTGTGACGCCTGCCCTCCACCAAAGTTAACTGTCTATGCAGGGCTCGCAGAACGGCGCTGCGATCTTTTCTCCGTGTGCTGCATAGAGCAGGCTGCCACTGCTTTGATCTCACGAACACGGTCCATGAGACAGCTGAGCTGTGGACTCCTGTCCCACTCCACTTGTCAGACCCTTCAGGGAGCCAGTTCAGCTCACTAAATCAGTGAAACTTGGGGGTTTTTTCAGCTGGATTACCAAAACTCACTGAGAGGGAGCAGTGAGCTGCAGATGGGCTCAGCCATCTCAGGGGGCTGCACCCCAGATTAGTCCTAGCCACAGTGCTCCACACAGGTTTGTCCCTACTCTGGGAGTCTG